ACCAAACACTATTTTCATTTTACAAACCTAAATTTCCAACCCAAATCAGTACTTTTACAAAACTAAAGTTTGGGAATCTATAAGTTTCTTGAATATTGTTAATTACGTTTTTAGATCACTTGGTACGTAAACATAACTCGTTTTTTTTTTTTGGGTCGAATAATCCACAGAGGGATTCACTTTCCTAGTGGAGCCAGGCAAGAAGTACTTACTGAGAATAGTCAATGCTGCACTGAATGAAGAACTTTTCTTTAAGATTGCTGGACACAAAGTCACTGTGGTTGAAGTTGATGCTTCATATGTTAAACCCTTTAAAACTGAGACCATTTTAACAACTCCAGGACAGACTACAAATGTCATTTTATCAGCTGATCTTGGAACTGGAAAATACTTAATGGTAACATCACCATACATGGATTCTCCTGTCTTAGTTAATAACAGAACTGCTACTGCTACTTTACAATATCTAGGCACCAATACTTCTTCCACCACAACAACTTTAACCGTGCCGCCGCCTACAAATGCCACCCCTATTGCAATTAAATTTGTGGACTCTCTCAGAAGCTTGAATTCAAGAAAATATCCAGCAAAAGTCCCACTTCAGAAAATTGATCATTCCCTTTTTTTCACCATTAGTCTTGGACTCAACCCTTGTGAATCATGTTATAGAGGATTTCGAATCGTGGCAGCTATCAATAATGTTACATTTGTTATGCCAAGTGTGTCACTACTTAATGCACATTTCTTCAATAAAAGTGGAGTGTTTACTGATGATTTCCCTGGAAATCCAGCATATACATTTGACTACACAGGGATTCCACCAGAAAACTTGAGGACAATGGAAGGGACTAGGCTATATAGACTTGCTTATAATTCTAATGTCCAAGTAATAATGCAAGATACAGGATTGTTGAGCCCTGAGAACCATCCAATGCATTTACATGGCTTCAATTTTTTTGTGGTTGGAAAAGGCAGAGGAAATTTTGATCCAGTGAAAGACCCTAAAAAGTTCAACCTTGTTGACCCTGTTGAGAGGAACACCATAAATGCCCCTTCTGGTGGTTGGGTTGCTATCAGGTTCAGGGCAAATAATCCAGGTAAAACCTTCTGGAAATAAAGGTTTTTCGTTATTTACACAGATAGTATAAAGGACCTTTTCAGTATTGTGTATTTTAGCCTGTTATGACAAGTTACATGCCATACTTTTCAAGTTATCCACTTATTATGGACTGATACATATAGTTATCTTTTAAATAATCGAATTATGGGAAAATTTTCTTACAGTTAAAAGTTAAAAATTATGTTGTTTGAACTGATTTAAACTTTGTAATCTTTTTATTACTTTGGGTTGATTTTTATAGGGATTTGGTTTCTCCATTGCCATTTGGAGGTGCACACAACATGGGGACTAAAGATGGCTTTTGTGGTTGATAATGGAAATGGCCCGGAAGAATCTCTTTTACCTCCTCCCATGGATCTTCCAACATGTTAAGATTTCCTATCATTTAAGTGTATATATTCTGAGTAATCATTGGTATGAGTTGTTTGAGCAGGCAAAAAGAGGTTCTTTGAGTAAACAGTTTGCTTTTTCAAGAATAAAAAAGGTTATAATATCATAGGAGACAAGTTTGTATGAAAGTAATTTTATGATAATGTTGGTGAGAAAAGCTGTAAATTATAAATGAGATATGTGTTCTTTGGTAGTACCTTTCTTGCATAATCGTTGGGTATTCTTTTTTATCTTTTTTTCTTTTCTTTTGGGGACCTAAATGGGACTTTTAGAAAATAACATGAAACTATGGTTCTCCAATTGTGGTCGAGCGGCCAAATATGTTAAAACTCCATTTTTAGGGGCATTTTCATATATACTCACTTTTGGGGCCACCATTGAAGTTATACCTGCATTGCACAAAAAATTGTTAAGTGTAGTCGCTCGGATCTGAAGTAGTTCAATATCTTCAATACAACTTCATAAATCAAATCTGAAGTTCTTTTATCTTTCAAATGCAACTTCAGAAATTTGAATCTGAAGTAGTTCAATCTCTTTAATGCAACTTTAGAAATCAAATATGGAGTTCTTCCATCTTTCAAATGAAACTCCATAAATTCGAATCTTAAGTAGTTCTATCTATTGAGTGCAACTTCAGATTTCGAATCTTAAGTTCTAAAACATAAACTGGTTCTTCGAATTTTAACAATCCAATACACGATTCAATTTCCAAATCTACTCCAAATAAGCTCGAATTTGAAATATAACTTTCAAATATCATAAAGAACAAATCTCAATTATCAAAACACCAACAAATTTAACAAGCTCATTTTGCAACTAAGACGAAGAAGAAGAAGAAGAAGAAGAAGAAGAAGAAGAAGAAGAAGAAGAAGAAGAAGAAGAAGAAGAAGAAGAAGAAGAAGAAGAAGAAGAAGAAGCAGCTCTAAGCTCAAAGAAGAAGAAAAGAGCAGTAAAGAAGAAGCGGAAAGTGTATGTATCTGAAGTTATGCAAATATTGGGTATCAGTTAAACTTTTTTTTTTAAAATGGGTACAAATTCAATGGATGACATAAAATTGGGCTCTATATGATAATTTTACGAATATTTTCATATATACCAACTTTTGTGGCCACCATTGAAGTTATACCCATATTGCACAAAATTTTACAAAGTGTACCCACTCGGATCTTAAGTAGTTCAATATCTTCAATTCACTTCAGAAATCAAATCTGAAATTCTTCTATCTTTCAAATACAACTTCAAAAATTCGAACCTGAAGTAGTTCAATCTCTTCAATATAAATTCAGAAATCAAATCTGAAGTTATTCTATCTTTGAAATGCAACTTCAGAAATTCGAATATTAAGTAGTTCAATCTATGCAACTTTAGATTTCGAATCTTAAGTTTTGAATCTTAAACTAATTCTTCTAATTTCAACAATCTAATACACGATTCAATGCACAAATCTACTCCAAATGAGCTCAAATTTGAAGCACAACTTTCAAATATCATAAAGAACAAATTTCAATCATCAAATTACCAAAACAACAATAAATTTAACAAACCTACTTTGCAACTAAGAAAAAGAAACTATAAGCACAAAGAAGAAGAAGAAAACTGATGGTGGGCTATAATTACGTATTTTAGTCGCTTATCGCACTTTAATTTACTGCACTTTAATTGAGTTTGAGCTTTAATCGCTAGTGTTTTGCACTAACTGCGTGTTTTATGCCTTGTAGGAGTTATTCCGAGCTATGTAGATGTTATGTAATGAATTCGAGCTATTTGGAGCTTTGAGACTGAGTAAAAGCAAAAAGGATTAAGCCGGGATCGCATTGGGGGATCGAGAACCACGTCTGAACTTAAAAAACGAAGCAAAAAGGTTCACTCTGAGAAAAGTCCACAGCCGCGGCGCGTGGCGTGCCGCGGCTGCCTATTTTTTCTGCTGACGCTCTCTGATAAAGTCCACTACTACCCCGCCTAGCGCGTCACCCCATGCAGCGCGCCTGTGCAATTTTTACAGAGTTATTATCTCAGTTCGTGCAGGAAAAGGTGTTTTCGTCTAGGCCCGACCCTACTTGGTACAAATACATGTAAAACGTTATTTTTGGTACTTTAACACACCTTAGACCTAAGGAGACTATTTTGGAAGGGAGAAGACGTTGGGAACATTCTTTGGAGGAGAAAATCATTAAATTCCTAATTCCTTCATCTTTTCTTTGTAATTTGTTTATGAAAAATACTTGGAAAGTTGTTACTACGAATATGAGTGGCTAAGCACTCTAGTTCTAGGGTTGTGGTTGACATGATTATTAACGTTTATTAATTACATCTTCGTTAATTCGGATTATCATCTTATGATTGTTTCTTTAATTCTAGTTTTAACTTGTGAATTGTGGTGGCCACCAATTCACCCTACTATCTATGCTACACTTGGGAAAGCCGAGTTTAGATTAGAGTTTAATTAAAGAGAGCTTGTTTCTGAACCCGTGGCTCGGAGAAAGATTTCGTGGTTGGAATAGGAATATACCTAACATTCTTGCTTAGTTGAATACCATATTATATTCGTTCATGATAGACTCAATACCATAGGAATATAGGATTGATATTATTGTGGACAGACGAGTAATATTGTGGGAACATGCTATGCATATAAACAATCCAGTTAATTAGCAACCTTAGATAATCTGGATTAACGAGTGTGATTATTGAACTTAATAGAATTCATAAACCAACCACAACCCTGGAATTTTTCATCTCCTCTGAATTAAAATCTCACCATACACATTTGCATTCTTGATAAATTAGTTGTTACTTGTTTAATTTCCGCAATAGTAGATTGATAGAAAAATATCACTCTTGTTTATCTTGGACAATTAACTGATTTTAGTTTGCTTAGTTAACGATTGATCTAAGTCTCTGTGGGTTCGACATCCGACTTTCGAGTCACATTATTACTTGAGGGCCACGTATACTTGCGTGTACTAGGGGACCAAAAAGTTTTTGGCACCGTTTCCAGGGACTTAGTTATTGATATTTATTTAAGTTAAGCTTTTATTTGTTATTTGTTCAAGTTTTTATTTTTAGTTTGCTTTATATGTGATAACGCAGGCTCTTCTCTTAAATGCGGAGGAGTAAAAGCGCAAATAATCTCCTTCCTCTTGATCCTGAAATTGAACGAACACTTCACAGAGTGAGGAGGGAAGTCGAAGCTAGAACTAGAATAGAAAGAGAGTTCGACATCGTAGTTCAACCACAGCCAATAGAGATGTGTCACGACCCCAATCCCGGTCGTGATGGCGCCCAACACTAATGTCATGCAAGCCCGACCAATTTAAATACTCTCAACCCAAATATGCAATCCGTTAACAAATAATACGATTAAAATAGCAAATATCAAGGTTCCAATCCAAAACTAAATAAAATAGTATGGAAAATAATAACGAATATCCCAACATTCCCCAATAGATCTGGAGTCACGAGTCTAGAGCCTCTAGATGTAACAGAGTAATATATCCATAGTAACAAAGAAGTCTAGGATATGGAAAGACAAATGAAATAAAGGGGAGGAGTCGGGTCCTGCGGACGTCAGGCAGCTACCTCAACAACTCCTGAAAATAACTTCACGAAAAACAGCAAACAGCTCCACTAAGTCTCCGGAGCACCTGAATCTGCACACATGGTGCAGGGAGTAAAGTGAGTACTTCCAACTCAGTGAGTAATAAACATATATAATGGCTGAAAGTAAGAAATTCCGAAATATTACAATATAAAGCTATAATCAGCGATTCAGCACATAAAACGATGAAACAACCACAAACAAAGATAATTAAGACCAACAGATATAAAATGCATGAATGCAATGCAATGCACATGACCGCTGCGGCGCGCAGCCCGATCCATTTGGGTACCCGCGCTCACTGTGGGGGTTCAGACTCCAGAGGGGCTCCTACAGCCCAAGCGCAATATCATCGTAACATTCGCTGCGGCGTGCGACCCGATCCACACTCAGTCCAGATATATATATATATATATATGCATGCAAGCCACTCGGGCACGGTCAGATTATTCATTTTGGTCTCAATTATTAGGAATTATAGAGCTAAGTGTTTAAACCTTTATTTGTTTATTGAACATTTCGAGTCAGTGTCTAATTCAGGACTGATATCATGAAATATGCTAAACATCATGGAAGCAGTGATAAGGATCCCTGAAGGATGCAAATGATAGGCACAAAGCCCCAAACATATTCATAAAATCCAAGTAGGATGATTACCAAACAATTTCTAGTCAAGAACACAGTACGAACATCAATCGAAACGGACTAGGTCAAAATTCCCAGTCACAATCGACCCCGCACTCGTCATAGAGTACGTGTCTCGCCTCAATATAGCGTCACAATGTGATATACCGGGGTTTCAAACCCTCAGGTCATCATTTACATCTATTACTCACCTCAAGCCGGCCACAAGTCTAGCTCGCTATGCCTTTGCCTTTCGAATCAACCTCTTCGCACGCCGAATCTGATTAAAACCACAACGAAGACATTCCAATAGGCTAAAGAAACATAACCCAATCGAAAAGACTCGAAAAACACCAAAATTCACGAAGTTGGCAAAACCCGAGCCCCGGGCCTACTTCTCGAAAAATTACGAAATTTACATCACTGGATTCCTCGTCTCGCCACGAGTCTACACATACTAATTTTACCAAAATCGGAGTTCAAATGCCCTTTCAAAATCCATTTTTACATCACAGCTTTCCAAGCCCTAACTTGACCCGTTTTTGATGAATTTTCCACAATTTACATGTAATTTCTACAATGAACTCGAATAATTAGGCCAAGAGACTTACCTCCAATTGATTCTCAGTCAAAACCCTCGAAAATCCTCGCCCAAAGCTCTCCAAGTCGCTTAAAAATGGTGGAAACTACCTCTTGTTCGCGGATGAAATATAATATTTTAAACCCTTCTGTCAACAGCGATTTTCGCTTATGCGGTCCCGCTTCCGCTTATGCGTGACCGCTTCTGCGGCCAAAAATCCGCTTATGCGGTCTTCACTTAAAAACCCGGACTTCGCTTATGCGACTCGAACCCCGCTGTGAGCACGTGATTTTTGCCACGCTTAAATTACTCCTATAAATTCATTACTTAGAATTTTTCTTTTATTATTTGAATTTTTAGGAATTAATTGCATGATTTTGTGTCTTGT